TTTTTTACTTCCACCGGTCCAAGCTTGCTCCTGTGATGGACTACAACCTCAATACAAACTAGTAGTCCATCACTGGAGCCATTTTTTAAACTTTATTTGATAGTTTATCCGATTAATCGAACTTAATAATCGGCTAACGAATAGATTTTGAAAATAATCGTTAGCTGCAGCTCTATCTCCGACCACCTCCTGGTGCATGCCCCTAGTCTCCGACCACCTCCTGGGTGCATGCCCTCGGTCTCTGACCACCTCCTGGGTGCATGCCCCTAGTCTCTGACCACCTCCTGGGTGCATGCCCCTAGTCTCTGACCACCTCCTGGTGCATGCTCTCAGTCTCTGTCCAGCTCCTGTAGCAGGCTTTCGGTCTCTGACCATCTGCTGTATTATGCCCATAGTCTCTGACCATTTCCTGTAGCATGGAGAGATTACCTCTCACTTCCTGTTTTGTTTCCAGGGCAGGAAGTGAAGGGAAATCTCCCCAATAAGACATAGCAAAAAAAAATAAAAAAGGAGCCAGATTTTAATGTTTACTCTTTCGATAACTTCCATAAAGATTTGGCTATGCACATACTGAATATGCAACAATAAAAATATATCTGAATATGTGTTGTGCTGTTGTGATGTCTGTCTGAATTTGATTGGATTGAATCGGATCAAGAAAACTGTAGAATCCAAGGCCAAAACATCCTGTGCCCGTAGCCCCTCCCCCTTTAATGAACACGTACAGATAATCCGTGGGTACGTGCTTACCATACCAGCACATGCATAGAGACATCGCTGACTCGGCATGCTGGGATAATCTGTTTTTTGGATCGGTGTCCATTTGACATTTAACCCCCTGCACTGGACAGGATTTCTTTTTTTACAGGCGATCCGCTCGCAGTCGGGCGGCAGATATAACCAGTGAATTCATTATTATAATATGGCAACAACGCCAAATTCTGAAGTCTAAGACCTGCATTCCGCAGACCTCAGCACCACCTGGACTGTGTGTACGATGGAGGAGATCAGCAAGTGAGTCAATGCTGCCCCCTGGTGGCAAAGTCAGGGAACTGCAGGGAAAATGGCAAGTCTATAACACGATGAACTGAGAGATCCCGACAGCTAATTGCAAAACATACCCAAGAATATTTATTAGGGATGCACCGATACCGGTTCTTTAGTATCGAGTATTGATATTTTGCTTTCGGTACTCGCCGATACCGGGTACCAATACTTTTGCTGGCACTGAACTGGCCTCTTGGGGCAATCAGGAAGCCGGGCGGCATGTCATTACCCCCCATCCTGCTTCCTGACTGCCCGGGAAGCTGCCTCCATGTTGTTTACCCGGCTTGATTGATTGGCGGGGAAACTGGCTTCCCAGCCAATCACCATCAAGCCGGCTTCCCGGCCAATCGTGAAGCCAGGAGGCAGGTCATTACTCGCCGCCCGGCTTTCTATTGGCCAGGAAGGCGGTTCGATGCCAATTGGCTGGGAAGACAGTTTCCCGGCCAGTCACAATCAAGTCGGGCAAACAACATGGAGCCGGCTTCCCGGGCAATCAGGAAGCCGGGTGGCGAGTAATGACCTGCCTCCCTGATTGGCCGGGAAGCCGGCTCCTTTGCTGATTAGCTCCACATGATATCAGAGCCCGGACACATGATCACCTTCACAGAGGCACATGACATCAGAGCCCGGACACATGATCACCTTCACAGAGGCACATGACATCAGAGCCCGGACACATGATCACCTTCACAGAGGCACATGACATCAGAGCCCGGACACATGACACATATACACACAGAGCGCTCACTGACCATGGTCTTCATAGGGGTCGTTCGGGTCGTCCGCTATGAGCTCGGCGTTGCTCGGGGTGTCATGGTCCTCTTTTGTTACGAAGATAATTTTGTCCTTTCCTGAAAGAGATCGGCAGATCGGTTACATTTCAGAAGGAATTTCCATTTACATACCAGTGAGCGCGGAGCTCCGGGTGCTTCTCCGGGCAATCAGTGACAACCCCGAACAGACTCATTTTATAACCTATGTGTACCCCCCACCCAGGTGTTATGTATGGAGGGATTATTGCTCTTATAGCAGTGACACCCCCGATGCTCAGTGATGTGTCAGTGTAACTCATCCACGTACTTATTACCTATCACAGAGGTCACATGACTCCCCCTGACAATGCTGCCATCTACTGGTCTCTCTAGAAGCACAGCGCCATCTTTGTTCAGGCATCATCCACGGTCAGCATCTACTTCCTGGATTGAGATGCTGGCTCAGAGATGACACAGCCATGTAATTTCTGATGCCTGTGTAGTTATGTGTTTTCAAATGTCTGACACAGATCAGTTCCTGCTGCAGCCTCCCACCTTGTGACTTGCTACAAAGTTACAATTTGATCACTAGGGGGAGGTGAGACTGATGAAATGCTTCCTTCTGCCTGCAGCAGACTGATCACTGGGGGAGGTGAGACGGAGGAAATGCTTCCTCCTGCCTGCAGCAGACTGATCACTGGGGGAGGGGAGACTGAGGAAATGCTTCCTCCTGCCTGCAGCAGACTGATCATTGGGGGAGGGGAGACCGAGGAAATGTTTCACCCTGCCTGCAACAGACTGATGACATCATCTCAGCCTAGGCAAAGTCATTGGACGGGAGGTCAAGGACAGATTTTAGTGATAAAAGGTGGAACATTTTCATTAATGACACTGATGTTGTATAATGTGACATGTCAAAGTCATTATGAGGCACACTGTTATATAATACCCCTCCCCCCAGGTCTGTAGTGAGGGTGTGAAGGTCTCCAGGTCCATCATAAACTAGCCCCGGGAGCTGTGTTACGACGTCATCTTAATAAATAAAGTCACCATGGTGACAAATGATCGTAAAATGTTTCCTGATCCCCAATGTGGCAGCAACGTGGGTGACAAACAGGCTTCAAAATTCATATCCAATGTCATCAGCTATGCCTAACCCCCCTTTTTTCCCTGTGGCCCGCAATCCCCAGCTCAGGGGCCCCTCAGCAGCGGCCCTCCACCCGGTGCCCTTGCTCACCCTCCTGTCTGCAGTAAGACATGTCTGCAGCTCACACTCACACCGGCTGCGCGCCCTCTGATGGCGTCATCCAGAGTGACAGGACGAAGGACCCCAGGCAAAGGGCTGCCCTCCTCACTGCCTGTCAGTAAAGGGGAAAAGGGGCGGGGCAGTTGTGAGGCAAAGTAAAGTTGTCGGTGTGTTGTGAGTGGTTGCTAGCGGCAACGGTGTAAATACGCAGGGCGGAGAGCGCCATAGGCCCACTCTGTGAATAGCTAGACACTGCTGGGGGAGGGGATCAGCACACATCCAGCTGTGGCTAAGGAGGAGCCTCAAAAGTCTGCCAGACAGAGACACTGCGCATGCGCAGAACATCCTCACTGGGAGGAAACTTTGTAACAAGTTGTGACAGAAGACACAGAGGGAAGGCAGGCTGTGCAAAGCCAGGAGTGTAAGTGATGAGTCAGAACTGGGGGGAAAGGGGGGTTACTGGGGTACTGCAAGTCGCAGCATGGCCTGTGTGTGCTGGGGAGGGGGCGCATGATGCACCCCTCTGATATAGAGGCTGTTGTATGTTTATCTGTATGTGTACTTTGTATCTTTTCATGCATGCCCTATGTACTGTACTGTACTGTACTGTGTTACCTCTGCACTGTACTGTGTTACCTCTGCCCTATGTACTGTGTTATCTCTGCCCTATGTACTGTGTTACCTCTGCACTGTACTGTACTGTACTGTGTTACCTCTGCCCTATGTACTGTACTGTGTTACCTCTGCCCTGTGTACTATAGTGCCGTACCTCTGCCCTGCGTACTATAGTACCGTACCTCTGCCCTGCGTACTATAGTACCGTACCTCTGCCCTGTGTACTATAGTACCGTACCTCTGCCCTGCGTACTATAGTACCGTACCTCTGCCCTGCGTACTATAGTACCGTACCTCTGCCCTGTGTACTATAGCACCGTACCTCTGCCCTGCGTACTATAGTACCGTACCTCTGCCCTGCGTACTATAGCACCGTACCTCTGCCCTGTGTACTATAGCACCGTACCTCTGCCCTGTGTACTATAGTACCGTACCTCTGCCCTGTGTACTATAGTACCGTACCTCTGCCCTGCGTACTATAGTACCGTACCTCTGCCCTGCGTACTATAGCACCGTACCTCTGCCCTGTGTACTATAGCACCGTACCTCTGCCCTGCGTACTATAGTACCGTACCTCTGCCCTGTGTACTATAGTACCGTACCTCTGCCCTGTGTACTATAGTACCGTACCTCTGCCCTGTGTACTATAGTACCGTACCTCTGCCCTGCGTACTATAGTACCGTACCTCTGCCCTGCGTACTATAGTACCGTACCTCTGCCCTGTGTACTATAGCACCGTACCTCTGCCCTGCGTACTATAGTACCGTACCTCTTCCCTGTGTACTATAGCACCGTACCTCTGCCCTGTGTACTATAGCACCGTACCTCTGCCCTGTGTACTATAGTACCGTACCTCTGCCCTGTGTACTATAGTACCGTACCTCTGCCCTGTGTACTGTATCTGTCTTTAGCCAAGTGAAATCTGATTGGTTAATGTTGGTGGTGACACTTTGCATATGTTCTTTGCTGGTCCTGTGATGGAGTCATTCCGCTCATGTCCTCCACATTGTCTTTCTCTATCACTGAGACGTGTTGTGTTCTCTCTCCAGTACACAGATATCATGAGGGAGCACACGACGGTGAAGACCGAGCCGAAGGCCGGATTCCTGGAGCGCCTCAGTGACACAGCCGGGGGAATGGGGATCGGCCTCATCACCTTCTGCCTGTCCTTCTACCTTCTATTTACCAATGAGGTGAGGAGAGGACTCCCTCGTCCCCGAGTAACAGGGATCAGGCTGTGGGGCTGTTTGCAGCGTTGATGTCGGGGTCACGTCTCCAATATCTTCTTGCAGGGCCGGGCGGTGCAGACAGCGGCATCCCTGGAAGAGGGTCTGTCTGTTGTATTTACAATCGGAAATATTCAAAGAGTGGACCCCATGAATGAGGCGAAACTGGTCCACGTCTCCGGAGTCCTGCAGACATCTGCTGTAAGTGTGAATGTGACGCGAGAACCCGGCGGCCCCGAGCGGGTTTATAAACCACGAACTCCAGACTGAAAGTATATATACCGCTCCATTCCAGCACTGACTATGAGAGTCCCAGATATAGGATAGTGCGGGGATAGTGATGTGTAACCACCCCCTCCTCTCCCCTTGTCCATTCATAGAACACCTTCCATTCTGTAAATATACACCACACTCCTCTCCTGTACATACTGCCCCCTGTCATATCCCCCACACTCCTCTCCTGTACATACTGCCCCCCGTCATACCCCCTACACTCCTCTCCTGTACATACTGCCCCCCGTCATACCCCCTACACTCCTCTCCTGTACATACTGCCCCCCGTCATACCCCCTACACTCCTCTCCTGTACATACTGCCCCCCGTCATACCCCCTACACTCCTCTCCTGTACATACTGCCCCCCGTCATACCCCCTACACTCCTCTCCTGTACATACTGCCCCCCGTCATACCCCCTACACTCCTCTCCTGTACATACTGCCCCCCGTCATACCCCCTACACTCCTCTCCTGTACATACTGCCCCCCGTCATACCCCCTACACTCCTCTCCTGTACATACTGCCCCCCGTCATACCCCCTACACTCCTCTCCTGTACATACTGCCCCCCGTCATACCCCCTACACTCCTCTCCTGTACATACTGCCCCCCGTCATACCCCCTACACTCCTCTCCTGTACATACTGCCCCCCGTCATACCCCCTACACTCCTCTCCTGTACATACTGCCCCCCGTCATACCCCCTACACTCCTCTCCTGTACATACTGCCCCCCGTCATACCCCCTACACTCCTCTCCTGTACATACTGCCCCCCGTCATACCCCCTACACTCCTCTCCTGTACATACTGCCCCCCGTCATACCCCCTACACTCCTCTCCTGTACATACTGCCCCCCGTCATACCCCCTACACTCCTCTCCTGTACATACTGCCCCCCGTCATACCCCCTACACTCCTCTCCTGTACATACTGCCCCCCGTCATACCCCCTACACTCCTCTCCTGTACATACTGCCCCCCGTCATACCCCCTACACTCCTCTCCTGTACATACTGCCCCCCGTCATACCCCCTACACTCCTCTCCTGTACATACTGCCCCCCGTCATACCCCCTACACTCCTCTCCTGTACATACTGCCCCCCGTCATACCCCCTACACTCCTCTCCTGTACATACTGCCCCCCGTCATACCCCCTACACTCCTCTCCTGTACATACTGCCCCCCGTCATACCCCCTACACTCCTCTCCTGTACATACTGCCCCCCGTCATACCCCCTACACTCCTCTCCTGTACATACTGCCCCCCGTCATACCCCCTACACTCCTCTCCTGTACATACTGCCCCCCGTCATACCCCCTACACTCCTCTCCTGTACATACTGCCCCCCGTCATACCCCCTACACTCCTCTCCTGTACATACTGCCCCCCGTCATACCCCCTACACTCCTCTCCTGTACATACTGCCCCCCGTCATACCCCCTACACTCCTCTCCTGTACATACTGCCCCCCGTCATACCCCCTACACTCCTCTCCTGTACATACTGCCCCCCGTCATACCCCCTACACTCCTCTCCTGTACATACTGCCCCCCGTCATACCCCCTACACTCCTCTCCTGTACATACTGCCCCCCGTCATACCCCCTACACTCCTCTCCTGTACATACTGCCCCCCGTCATACCCCCTACACTCCTCTCCTGTACATACTGCCCCCCGTCATACCCCCTACACTCCTCTCCTGTACATACTGCCCCCCGTCATACCCCCTACACTCCTCTCCTGTACATACTGCCCCCCGTCATACCCCCTACACTCCTCTCCTGTACATACTGCCCCCCGTCATACCCCCTACACTCCTCTCCTGTACATACTGCCCCCCGTCATACCCCCTACACTCCTCTCCTGTACATACTGCCCCCCGTCATACCCCCTACACTCCTCTCCTGTACATACTGCCCCCCGTCATACCCCCTACACTCCTCTCCTGTACATACTGCCCCCCGTCATACCCCCCACACTCCTCTCCTGTGCGCTGCTGGGGGCATCATGAGGTCTGTTTATATTCTGAGCGACTGTTCATCTGCACAGACCACACAAACAAGAGACAGAACACAACGAATTGTCATAGTCGCACTTTATTTATACTTTTTATTAATCTGGGTTCTAGAGGAAACTTCGCTCTACAAATTCTTCTTCTATAAGCCCAATAAAACACACGTAACATCTTCAATTTACGATGCTGGAAAGCTGTCAGACACAAGGGGCGTTGGCTCTTATGAATCATCGGCACCAAGAGACATGAAATCTGGAAGAAAGGTCCTTTTTGTTTGAGAAAGACTTTAAGGCCTTGTTCACACCAAATGCAGACCAGATCTGCATGAGTTTCTGCACACGCAGTGCAGTGTGTTATGCCGCGTTTTTTGCCGCGTTTTCGATGCGTTGAGGGACGTTTTTGGTAAAAGAGCCCATTTTTTTAGTTTAAAATGGGCTTTCAGTGCGTTCCAGGGTGTTTGCATGCGTTTGTGATGTGTTTGCATGCATTCCAGAGCAGGTAAAATAGGGCTTGCTGCAGTTTCTTTTTACATGCTCTGCAAGTGAACACTGCAGTGTGAACTAGAGCCCAAATACCATTGGAATACATTGGACGCAGTTTTGATCCGGTCTGTAACAGATCTGCTCTGCTCCTGGAACGCGCTTGGTGTGAACAAGCCCAGAGATTGGTGTTTGTAAAGGGAAACCTGCACTGAGAGAAATAGTTGGGCGATCCAAACTGTTTTTTTTATTCCAACAATGTTAGCTGCTCTGATCCATATGACAGCCAGACAGCTAGCATTCTAAGAAGCATGTCACCACCCCCCCATCATACATCTCTTATCAAAGGTTTACTTTGACTGTTGTGGACAAAAGTGAGGTCACAGTGCTGTCTGGCATGGGCGCTCAGATCACAAAGCTGACCAAACAGATTAAATCATACGGCAGCTAAGGCAATATATGTATAGTGGTATATGTTCTATTTAAATGTTTAGGATCCCCGGACACAATCCTAATCTACCTGTTATCCAGCTTTGTTCTTCTCACACACAGCCTGGGGCAATTTGCAATATTTCAGTTGTTGAAGGCTGAAGTTGCCCCAGCATCTACTCTATAGCTGGCTATAGGCCATGGGGCCATAGAAAGCAGCAGACCTGCATGCAGACCTATGATGAGAATAAAAAGCCTTGTAGTACTGTGTTTTTTTTCCTGCCATGTGTACGAGCCCCAACTGAGAATACATACTGGACACAAAGGTGGATTTGGGATTTGACTTCCCCTTATCTCTGTTCTTTACTCGCTATATTTTATATAACCTGCTGTTGTCTGATTGCAGCCGCTGTTTGATCCGAACTACGGGGTTTCTGTGAGCTGCGTGAAGCTGAAGCGTCAGGTGGAAATGTACCAGTGGGTGGAGCACGAGGAGTCAAAGTAAGAGAGATAGACAAACACTTGAAGATAACATTGTAATGCTGACTGGAGTTCAGCTTTCAAGTAAACCTTTACTAAGTACAAGTGGATTTAAAGCTGACCTCCGTCCTTCCCTTCAGTCTTCTATCTGACCTCTGTCCTTCCCTTCAGTCTTCTATCTGACCTCCGTCCTTCCCTTCAGTCTATCTGACCTCCGTCCTTCCCTTCAGTCTTCTATCTGACCTCCGTCCTTCCCTTCACTCTTCTATCTGACCTCTGTCCTTCCCTTCAGTCTTGTATCTGACCTCTGTCCTTCCCTTCAGTCTTGTATCTGACCTCTGTCCTTCCCTTCAGTCTTGTATCTGACCTCTGTCCTTCCCTTCAGTCTTGTATCTGACCTCTGTCCTTCCCTTCAGTCTTGTATCTGACCTCTGTCCTTCCCTTCAGTCTTGTATCTGACCTCTGTCCTTCCCTTCAGTCTTGTATCTGACCTCTGTCCTTCCCTTCAGTCTTGTATCTGACCTCTGTCCTTCCCTTCAGTCTTGTATCTGACCTCTGTCCTTCCCTTCAGTCTTGTATCTGACCTCTGTCCTTCCCTTCAGTCTTGTATCTGACCTCTGTCCTTCCCTTCAGTCTTGCACAGTTGTAGCGGCTCCTCTCCTGGACTGAAATTGCTTTCTCTGATGTCACTGCACACTGGGAGCTTCTCACATACAAAAAAAAAATGATGTGCTGCAGCCTTTAATGATACAGGCGTCTGCACTTAGTTTTCTCTTAAGCCTGTGACACACTGCTAGTGTCCTACGGGAGTCTTTAGTTGTACCCTAAGTGGCTCTGCCATGTGAAATTATATAGACATTTGTTTAAACCGGAGTTTATTTAAGCTTTCAAAATATGTTCTTTCACAGAGATTATGAAGAAAACGGAGAGAAGAAAACAGAGACGAGATACACGTACAGTAAGTGCCATCTTCTCCGTGTCCCTTTTTTATAGGGAATATGTTGAAATATGGGACATGCCACGGCTGACTTGTTTTTGGAAGTGGCAGTTCCCTAGGCTGTTATCCTGGTTTTGTAATCGTAATGAATTGAGGTCTCATGTACAATCTGTGTTTTCCTTAGATACGGAATGGAGATCAGAGGTGGTGAGCAGCAGACATTTTGATCGAGAAATCGCCCATCGCAATCCCAGGTGATCTTCTTTTATTAAACCATTAAACTCAATGGGTCTAATGTACAGGGAGACAACAAATTAAACTGCCTTATGGGGGGAAGGGCACTTTGGATACCTGGAGATGCTTTTTAATGTATATAGGAGTTTAGGATTTTGTTTGCACAGTCTCCGTTTTCTGTGTTGTGAAAAAGTAATCTAGAGCAAACGTCAATCTCTTGCAGCGCCATGGCAGTGGAGTCCTTCACAGCTGTCGCATCAGATGTCCAGGTTGGAGGTTACTACCTGTCTAAAGGTGAGAATCAATGTGCATATTACCCTTAAAATTGATACATTTTAATGCATTCTTTTTTAATAAAGTAACTTGTAAATATTCATTTATGTGCTAATACATTCTTGTTTACAAGCAAATACCTGGTGATCCTGCCATTTCCCCTCGTATATCCTGTAGCTTTTTAAACAACGTAAAGCATGGAAGCAGATGCATGCTGGCGTGGTCAGTTTTATCCCTCAGTTTGCTCACCGGAGCTACAGGATGTCATATGTTCCACAGTCAGCTTTCCTTCAATGCCTCCTTTCCAACCCTGCTCTTCCTCACACATTCTACATAGACAGGGAACATATTTCCCTGCTGACAACTGACATCAGGCAATGGAGGCGCGTCCCCTGCCGGACATCGGAGGCGCGTCCCCTGCCGGACATCGGAGGCGCGTCCCCTGCCGGACATCGGAGGCGCGTCCCCTGCCGGACATCGGAGGTGCGTCCCCTGGGCAGCAATGGAGCCAAGCACAGTTCGGTACAGCCATTTCCATGGAACAGAAGAGGCGGACGTGACGCTGGTGGAGGCTAATGATCGTCATGACAAGTCACCACCCCTTGCGTTCACCAGTCCTGGATGGCAAATTGAAAGCATGCCATTGCTATATAAAAGTCAAATATAAACTATTTAGTGGTAATATTTATTTTGAAAAAGTGATTATATATTACTGTCATGATTTATATTGCACGGAATGATTGAGGATTAATAACATTCACATACTTTTTAATATCAGCGCCCAAAAGTTTGGACTTTTTAATTGATTGATTTATTTTTATTGTAAAAATGGCGCACCCAAACCCCCATGTTCTTCTTTCCTCTCATTGCTTATTACATTTGTTAACAGTTATTACCAGTAACATCCCCAGTGCAGAAGGCTGCTGGGTTTTTGATTTGCCCTGGAGGAGGCCATCATAGTGGCTAACTTTGTTCCTTTTTATAGGTCTGGTTGAGAAGATCGACAACTTCAAACAGCTGAGTCTGACGCAGAAGGGGAATCCACAGGCTGATGTCATCACAGAAGGGAATTACTTCTATCACAGCGCCAACCACAGGAATCCAGAGGTACTGAACAGTTTGTCTTGACTTAAAGGAGAATTATGAGGCAAGTGAAAATCACTCAGCCTCAAAGTTCTAGCCGACGTGTGACAATGAAACTGTCACACGTTGGCTCAATAGATCGGGAAGTGAGCGATCAGATACCGTCGCTCACTCCTCGATCTATCCCTGCAGAGAGCAGTGACTGTCACTCATAGCTCCCTGCAGGGATTCCCCCCTCCCCTGTCCCATCCTCCAGCGCTGACTGGCGGAACGGACGGGGGAGGGGGCGGGTACAGCTGGCTCTGCCTCTAGATAGGCAGAGCCAGCTGTCAATCCCGCAGCTGGGTGGATCTCGACAGTAATGTCGGGATCCGTCCCAGCTGCAGCGTCTCAGTATACCGCAAGCGGTAGCTCGCGGTATACTGAGCTTAGGGTGACGGGAGGACGTTAGTTTGTGTCCTCCCGTTACCCTTAGGAGAACTATGGGGAAAAGCCCTGACCCCATAGTTCTCCTTTTTAAGACAGTGAAATTAAAATGTCTCTAAATCTGGCTTAAAGAATACCTCCCTCCCTCTCTCCTCATCTCCATTACATGGAGAGGGGGTTGTTCAGAAGTTTACACAGGATATTTGGGAACGCTGACTGCATTGTCTGAGATTTCAGTTCAGCAGGAGTGGTAAGCTGCAACATATTACATTTTAGCTCTTGGGTTTAATTTTCCAGTAAGTGCAAGGCGACACTAAACAGTTCCTATTTCAGATGTTTTCACAAATGATGCCCTGTTGTGTTTCTGCAATGTTCCTGTTGTTGGCGATTGACAAGACAATATGGCTGATAACAGCGGTGGAGACTTCCCACCGGTCACAGTGGATACTTGTGTGGAGATAAAAGGATTAATGAGTAATATTAAGTACAGTAGTATAAGGTCTATCACAGTGTGCCTGACGGTACTGCATTTGTTTACAAGGGACTTACCAAGTCACATTATCTGTTTTCTATCTTCACATTTCAGGTGGGTGATCTGCGGATCTCCTTCTGGTACGCCGGCGTTTCCATGGGAAATTCATTTGGCTCAGTGGACATGGTAATAATCCTGTTTTTTTACTTATTTAAAAGTATGTTCCAATTAGCAACACTTTGACATCTTACCAATTGGCCAAAAAACACAATGGTTTTCCTTTAATGTGAATTTCAACTCAAATTGAAGATTTGTAATCTTAGAGGGAATATCTTGATATGATAATTGTGCATAAGCAGTACTCTGAAATATTTCCATTGTGTATTTAATTCCTGCTGAAAATTAGCAGTTCACTTCCTGTATGTGGGCACCCGTGTTGTGTAGCCTTATAGCTGTATATCTGCATTCAGAGATCATCTAAGGCACTGCTGCCTCTGACGGCTGGTATCATCAGATTTGGAGTGAGATTCGGTAATGTCACCACTGTTCTCCTTGCTGGAGAGGAAGCTGTACCTGAGGACCTGCAGTGCAAGGATCTCCCTGCTTCTTCTTAATTCGTTCAGTGGATCCGTTTCCTCCATTTTTCCTGCTGCTTCTTGACTACCCCTCCACTTATCTCTTCCCCAATCATCAGGGAGGCAGCTTTTCCTAAGGGAGAAAAGCTCTGTCTCCACCAAGATGGCCACCTCCACGGACAGACACAATGTGCCTCAGCAGTACCTGAAAGATTTACATTTGTCATAAATTCCTCCTGAAAAATGGCATTTCCTGATATGCGAGTGTGAACTCCTGTGCCCGCAGCCTCTCCAGTTTTTTTTGGTAAAATTAGGTACCTCGGCTTATATTCGGGACGGCTTATACTCGAGCTCACTATTCTCCTTGCTGAAGAGGAAGCTGTACCTGAGGACCTGCAGTGCAAACATTTCTCTGCTTCATTCATTCTGCATATCTGTGCTTCCTCCACCTCTGCTTTTGCCTCTGCATTACCCCTCCAGTCATTAAATCCCTAGTCATCAGGGGGCAGCTCTACCTTGAGGAAGCAAAGCTCTGGCCACCCCCACTCACACGGTGTGCATGGTAAGTGACTAATGGAAAGAAAGATCAGCTGCAGAGAATGCCAACAGGCAATACCGGTGACTAGGCCTTTGCCCTTTGATTGCCTTTGTGAGCACAAATTTCTTCTTTAAGAAGCCCTGTACTTATTACCAAGTTGGAGCACGTTCAATCTCTGTAGCAAGCATACTTTCCTATGTGAGAGTTCATTGCTGGGACTAAATAAATCGTGCAATCCCGTGCAATCTTACAAGAAGTAAAGAGCTGGAAGAAGCGTCAATGCAAGGTGCAGACAGTTAATGAAGACAAATTGTCTGGGGATTGTTTCATGGATATCCTGCTTCTTTTTTTTTTTAAGCCCACTTACATGCTTAATGTACAGCAACAATGTATTGTACACAATCATGAACCTTAAAAAGAGAAAGGTCTCACCTTAAACAAATTCTCTTTATCCTGCCCCCGTGGGGGACAGAGTGCATGTAGTACATTGTCCCAATTTGATAGGTACTTTTGCCCCCTCTCTCCCCACTGCTGGCCGACCACGCTGCTCTGTAGAAGATGGATAACTAATTAGCACCGATTGACATCGCTTGTCTCCAGCATAGGACGCTTACCCCAGTCCATCGCCATCACAACACATGTCAGAGCGTCTTCCTGGAAAACAGGAAAACACCACAGGCGCGCTCCCAACAGAGGAGGCAAATTGAAGTGTGCTTGGTTTGCGCTCCACAATAGGAATGTGCAGCCAATAGTCATGCAGGGGAGGTGATGTGTCGGTGCTCGCCTCTCATGATCAAAACTTTAATTGAAATATATAGCTACACAGGATATAAATCCACTTTGTGTGCCCCAAATGCCTTTGCAATCCCAGTTATTACCCAGCAGGCCTTGCCCACTGCAAGCCGCCTGAAGAAAACTACAGGAGGAGGTGAAGACAAGACCAGTCTCCTTGCACAAGGAGAGAGATCAGCATTGACCGGTCTTTATTACAGGAGGGGGCGGAGACAAGACCAGTCACCCTGCACAAGGAGAGAGCAGCAGTGACCGGTCTTTATTACAGGAGGGGGCGGAGACAAGACCAGTCACGCTGCACAAGGATAGAGATCAGCAGTGACTGGTCTTTATTACAGGAAGCTCCAAGTCTCACACCGTATAACTGCACAGATCTGAAAGAAATACACAAAGTTCCCAAAAATTCAAGAAGAACACATGACTTTTGTATTTAGGCAATATATGATTATCTCAGAGTTCAGCTTTAACATAGGAGAAACCTGCCATTCTAACAGAATGAGACGATGAAGCAATACAATACCATGGTGTCCTCTGTGCCCATGTGTAACCTGTGAGAATGAGTTTTCGGTTAGTACAGGGATAGGCAACCTCGGCACTCCAGGAATGATGGGATTTGTACTTTTAGCACAGCTGGAGTGCCGAGGTTGCCTACCTCTGGGTTAGTACATAATCCTTTTGTCCTTTTCAGTTAGAACAGATTTGATTTTAAAGACTTGCTGGTGTTGGTTGCAGCTTTCATTGAGTTGCTGGTCTGCTTACCTTTTCCATATTTTCCTGTTAGGCGAGTGTCATAGCACGGCAGCGAGGGGTGGAGCTGGTCCCATACAAAACCAAGTCCGGGGACCAGCTGGAGCTGCTCTACATTGGGAGTCACACCGCTGAGGTCAGTCATGGTCCCAAATGCCGCCCTTTGTTAAAGGCGAACCCCGCCAAGCACTGTTTGTATCTATGACATCATCATTTCTGTTAAAAAAAAAAAGAATGATACCTCACACAATGATTTCTACGACCCTGACTGCCTGGAGACGCCTCGAGAATTTCATGTGTGTGTCTTCTATGCAGGAGATCTTCCATGCGGAGCATCAGAGTAACGTGATGAAGACCTGGATGCTGCGAGGTGCCGGCTGGTTCATGATGTTTATGGGCATCAGTCTTATGATGAAGATCTTCTATACGCTGGGTGAGCTCGGAATCTATACATTATAACAATATACACACAGCCATGCTAAGCAAAAGGCACGTAACCTAATGCTGGTGACCAGTTGAAGACTTTGGACATACGAGACAAGACCATAAAAACTTTGTATTACTACTAGGGATGCACCGATACCAATGTGCCGATACAGAGTATTTGGGTGCGTACTTGTACTCGCTCAAATGCTCCGATACCAGAACCTCCTGTCAGAGGGAGCTCTCCCTCTGACCGGCAGTGCCGAGGGAGCATGGAGCTGGCTTCCTTTCCAATCAGGAAGCCGGGCGGTGGGTTATGACCCGCCTCCCAGCTTCCTAATAAGCTACGAAGTCAGCTTCACGTGTTGCTTAGCAGCCTGGCTTCCTAATCAATCAGGAAGCTGGGCAGCAGGTCATGACTCGCGTCCGGGCTTCCTGATTGTCAGTAGGCCACGCTGACTAGAAACAAGTGAGGCCACCTTCCTAGCCAATCGAGAAGCTGGTTATGACGCGCCGCCCGGCTTCCTGATTGGCTTTACTTGTTGCTAGTCAGCCTGGCTTCCTGACCAATCGGAAAGCCGGACGGCACCTCATGACTCACCTCCCGGCTTTCCGATTGGTCAGGAAGCCAGGCAGCCTCTGAAGCCGGTGCTCTTTCTCTAGAACAGCGGCTTCACAGGCAATCAGGAAGCCGGGCGATGGGTCATGATCTGCTGCTCGACTTCCTGATAATCTGGGTACTCGGTATCAGCGAGAACCGTAAAAAAAAAAGTCGGTACTCGATACCGAGAAAACGGTATCGGTGCATCCCTAAAAAGTACATTGGGTGTACACACCATGCCCCCCCATTCCATACTCTTTCTACGGTTGTTGCTCATCTATTTGACGGCCGGGTCCCAGAATGTGTCTCAGCAGCTCCTTTTATAGACAAAACCTGTCAACCGTTTTTCCAGGCTTCCTATGCAAATACATTCTAACAATAGTATTGTTACAATGTCTGTTTGTTTGTTCTTTTATGTGCTGATCAAAGTGCCAAGTGATCTGTACATAGGGAAGTTCACAACTGGAAAATAAAACAAGATTTAGCTTCTACAAAAAGCTTTCTTTCTTGCAAGCAGTGAGGTCAGGACTTGTGATTGGCATACGTGTGCAGGGTGGGAGACTCGGAAAGTATTGAAGCCATTGGGTCCCAACCATATACGTCTGACACTGAGGCTCCTGTATAAAGTGGCTGTGTGTTACTCATTGAAACCATACACAATGGTGACTCTCTGCAGGCTCCTGAGTGATCTATCTCCTCCACTTCGGGGGCTGGGTTCCTCGTGGCTCCTCCCAGCCACACTTCGGGGGCTGGGTTCCTCGTGGCTCCTCCCAGCCACATGTAAGAGAATGTCAGCCACACAAGTTCTGATCCCATAATCATCTTTATTGATCAAAGCACAACTTGCAGAAACTCCTACCACTGAGCTGTGCGCTCTAGATTAAAATGCATCAAAGGGAGGAGGTTTGTGCAGCATGTGTTGTGAACAATAAAGTTTATTGTTCAGACCACAACCCACAGAAACTCCTCCATCTCATGAGCTTCGCTCCCTAGAGCGAAACGTGTCAGTGGAAGGCATTTCAGGGCGTTGTGCTTTGAACAATAAAGTTGATTGAAAATCAGTTAAATCCATCTTGTTATCTCCGGACCTGTCTCTGAAGAACGGCAGCTGGAATCTGTTTGCTTTGGACAGCAGACTTTTCCCTCTCGAGGGTTAGTATCCATTGCCGTAATTTTATACACCACAGGAAACGTTACGGCTGCACAATGCTGAGGCAGCACTTGTTTTGTGTGTGGTGCCGCGATACAAGCTGCTAATTAAAGGTGTTGTCCATTTTTTCTCTGCAGTGGACTGGTTCCCCATCGTCCGTGATCTCGTCAATCTCGGCCTCAAACTGTTCGCCTTGTGTTTGTCCTCTTCCCTCTCCCTGCTGACCATCGCCGCCGGTTGGTTCTTCTATCGCCCTTTGTTGTCCTTACTCCTGAGCACGGTCGCGATCGGCATCATATTCCTCGCCCGATCCCGTGTGCCATCCAAGAAGCACCAATAAGAAGAATGCATCTGCGGTCTTCGGTATTGCTTAGAGCTTGACGCTGGTAATGAGGTTACTGTACCTAGACTATACCTCCGGGGTGGTTCATGCATTAATGTATTCTTTATCACTATGCAACTAATTTTTTTATACATATAGATTGTGTTTTGTAGCTAGTTTTGTATTTGGGTGTTATTATGGCTTAAAGGGGGTTGAAAACAAGATCTAAAGACACTTGGAGAACTACTTAGGCTACCACTGTTGGGCATGTTGGAAATGCGAGCTGCGCGGTTGTCATGATCCTCAAGGTACAGAACTTCCTGAATGTCGATCAAGAAGGTATTTAAAGTGACACTACTCATAAAAATACATTCAAGTCCCTTAACTCTGAACAACAATGTATCTTATTTGTGTGTCACTCGGCTGTAGATCCTCCAATCATCTCTGAATTGGTGCTGACACTGTCCTTCCTTCTGGAGGGGGGCTACGTCTGTTCCCCATGGTCCCTGTGTGTGTTGTAAAGTAGTCTGGCTAAAGTACCGGTATGTCCCCCAGTGTCCTCATGTCTAATAGACTTGTATTAGACATGATGTCATCACAGGGAAGGAAAGACTGTGGGGCTGGTCTAGCAGCCAGGCAGGAACGGGGATCAGGGGGTGGGGGTAGCCCCAATGTAAGGGTTAATATTTCAAAATCCTGGAGTTCCGGTGCCAATTGATATTTTGGTCACATGTTCTCATTGAGGTTTACTTTTTCCTGTACTGATTTCCACCGATTTTTTTTTTATTAACATCGCAGTAAGCCGGCAAGAATCACATTGTCTTCTCTCTGTTCTCTGGTTTACTTTTTGTAACATAAACTGAAAGTTGGTCCCTATAAAAGGGCCCTTTAGGATAAATATCTGTTGTGTGTCAATCATTTTGTTAAAAAGCAGACCTGTTCCTTCTGAAGACCAAAGCTGTATAGTTATTGGGACTGTTGTTGCTCGGAACAACTAATCGGCATTAAAGTGCAATTGAAGCCAACACTTTTTTTTTAGGGGATGCACCGATCCCGGAAGTCGCATGGAGCCGGCTTTCTGGCCAATCAGGAGGCTGGGGGTGGGTATTGACTCAATCAGAAAGCTGGGCAGGGAGTCATTACACAGCACCTGGCTTCCTGATTGGCCGGGAAGCCGACTCCATGCTCCCTAGTCACCTGGTGGCGAGCAAGC